TTATGTTTTCTCAGTCCTGTTATATGGGGTGGAGGTGTGGATACTAAATAAGCAATGTATGGGTAAGCTGGAGGCATTTGAGATGTGGGCGTACCGAAGAATGTTAAAAAATCTCCTGGAAGGATAAGATAACTAACCAAGTTGTGTTAGACAGGATGAACAAACAAAAGGAGGTCGTATTGAGTGTTAAAATGAGGAAACTACAATACCTGGGACATATTACACGTGGGAATAAATATCAACTGTTACAACTAATTATGCAAGGAAAGATTGAAGGTAGGCGCAGCATAGGTAGGAGAAGAATGTCGTGGTTGAGAAACCTCAGGGAGTGGTTTGCTTGCACTTCCATACAATTGTTCGGAGCGGCAGCCTCCAGGGTCAAAATTGCCATGATGATAGCCAACTTTCGTAGCGTGATGGCACGTGAAGAAGAAGAAGAATGAATTCCAAATGGCTCAAGTGAATTTCATTACTATTTGTATTGAAAGGATTTATCGCGATATTGCTTTAGAAATTTAAAATGAAAGTAATTGACCCCTCTGAATACCTTTAGCAAAAACAATTATTATTTCTTCAAAACAAACCAATTCTTGCACCAAAACATAGGCTGGGTTTTCCTTTTCTTACAATTTTAGATTCAGCTCATATAATTTTGCTGTGATATCCACTATAAAGTAAAATTTTTGCAACCATTTGTCGTTCCCTAATTTAGGGTGAGTGATGCCTTTTTCATTAAGGAATTATTAAGTATTTATTTCATTCAAGCACAAAGCAAAACGTTTCAACACTTTACCTTTGAAAAGCCATCGTACTTTATTATGAAGAAGGAGGTCGGAATACTGAGTATCCATTTCGTGTAAGAATTTTTTAAACTGACGATGCTAGAGTGCTCATGACAAGATGCTATTAACAATCTTGATCACCAAATTCATGACCCTAACTATTTCGACTGAAAATGTTTGGACACAAAGCGATTTTTGGTGTATTATGCAGTGAAACGTAAGAATTTCGTGATTTAATTTGCTTTGAAGAATCGTTGTTGCCCCTTAATTTTTTTCTGTCATACTTCTGGCTCCATTAGTTGCTATTGAAACGATTTTATTTAAATCGATCTCATTGTTTTCAAGGCTTTTTGCACGGCCTGCGTTATATCTTCCCCTTTAGTTTGTCCCGAGAGTGGTAGCAATCCCAGAAGTTCTTCATTAAGACCTTAGGAAGACATATAGTTGACAAAAAGGGCAACTTGTGCCATATCTTTTACATCTTATAGCAAGTGATAAGGCAGAAGAAAGTGGAATATCTTCCAAATGCAAATATTTTACATTTGAAGACATTTTAGCTACTCTATCTTGTACTGTTTTAGCGAATAGTGGCAAATCTTGGGCGGTGCTTTTTTCAGCTAACCACTGGAGAAGTGGAAATAGCAGGATACATGTGGTTCAGCTAGTACTTCCAAAAAATGATTTAGAATTTGCTAAAATATTACTAAATATTTTAACCATTTACATGCTAAGATTAAATATTCTTTTATTTAAAAACATACAAATATTTCAGTTACCTTCCTTTAAAAATTGATGATCTACAGCGTAATAAATATAAGCATCCTTCTACGATTAAGAATGCTGAGAGGCTATGTATTTAACACGCTATTATACGGAGTAGAGGCCTGGACTCTCAAACAGAACAACATGAAAAATATTGAAAGTTTCGAGATGTGGTGCTACCGTCGAATGGTGAAGATTAGTTGGGTTGAAAGAATAACAAACTGTGAAGTAATACGAAGAATAGGAAAAGACCCAGAGATTTTGTTAACGCTAAAGCGAAGAAAACTCGAATATTTTGGTCACCTGATGAGAGGACATAATACGCATTACTTCAAAATATAATGCAGGGGAAAATAGAAGGAAAACGGAATCCAGGCCGTAGAAGAATGTCATGGTTGCGGAATTTGAGAGAGTGGTTTGGCTGCACCACTAATGAACTCTTTAGGTCAGCCGTAAACAAGGTCAGAATAGCCTTGATGATTTGCAATATCCGATAGGACTGGCACAAAAAGAAGAAAAAGCGTAAATCAAAAAGTTTTTAAAACTGCAACTGCAAAAAACCTGATACGACAATTAAAGCGAATTTTGTAGAAAATTGAGCAGTGTATTTTGAAGGATAAATACCTATTATTTACATACTGTCACTGTCACTGCCAAATCTTAAAATTTTTCAGATAACTTATTCTGTTTAACCTCAAAAAATGGCTCCTTATGTCCATCCTAACTGACTGGTGACTAAGAGTCACCAGTCATCCATACAATTACTTCCACAAGAACGGTGCTTATCTCACAACTAATACATTTTCAAATAATTATGATCCCACCTCCAAAATAGTGACATCCTAAATATTGTTAGTCTGCTGTCTCCATTGACTGCGATCTTGTGCCATATGGACGGCTTCATGTAGGGATTTTCCCACCAAACTCTTCATTTGGTCTACCCATCGTATTGGAGATCTTCCTTTTGGTCTTCGGCCTTCTACCTTTCCTTCTACTACCAATAGTTCCATGGTGCCCGTTCTTCTAGCTATGTGGCCGAAGTAAGTTAAGTAGGTGGCAGAAGTAAGTTAGGTATGCTTGGTTTACTTTTTTTAGTAGCCTGTCTTTTATATGAAGCTCTTCCAGAATTGACAGGTTGGTTCTATGTTCTGTCCAGGACACGCGTAGAATCTTCTATATATCCACATTTCGAAGGCTTCGATCTTACTCCTATCGATTTTTTTAAGAGTCCATGTTTCAGCTGCATATGTAGCAATGGGAAAAATAAGGGCATTGACCAACCTGAGCTTAGTATTCCTTGTTATTGTTCGATCTTTCCATATTTTAATTAATTTAGCAGTTGCGGTTCGGGCCATTCCTAGTCTACGTTTGATTTCTGAGGAACAATCACCATTGTTGGTTATCAGAGAGCCCAAGTATACAAATCTGTCGACTACTTCGAAAATCCCTATTTGGCGTATATGCGGTAGATTATTGTTTGCTCTTTCTACAATCATTATTTTTGTTTTTCCGGTGTTGATTTGAAGTCCGAATTCTTCGCTTATTCGGCTTAGCCGTTCGATGATGGTAATGATTTCGACTTCATTCGCTGCTAGTATAAGTGTGTCATCTGCGTATCGCAGGTTACTGATTTTTTTGCCTCCTATAGTGATTCCTCCATCCCATTTATCTAGTACTTTTCTCATTATACATTCAGAATATATGTTGTACAATAATGGTGATAGTATGCAACCTTGTCTAGTTCCTTTCTCTGTTTTGAATGCATTTGAATATATTCCATGTACTTTAACTTTGGCTGAGTTTTTATTATACAGATTTCTTATTAGGTTAACTAGGTGGTTAGGTACTCCCATATTTTCCATTATACTCCAGAGAGGATCCCATTTTACTGAATCAAAAGCCTTTGTGTAATCTACAAACCAGAGCAACATTGGTATGTTATGTTCTCTCGCTTTTTCTACCATCTGTCTAGTGTTGAGTATTTGCTCACGCGTTCCCTTTCCTGGTACAAATCGACATTGTTCTTCGGCTATCTCTGGAAGTAGAAAGTTCTTTAGCCGTTCATTGATTATATGTAGCAGGATTTTGCTTGCATGAGGGATAAGGGCAACGGTTCTGTAATTGCTGCATATGGTTAGTGATCCTTTTTTATGGATAGGGATTAAGGTTGATTCACACCACTCATCAGGCCATTCACCTGTGATCCATATCATGTTGCACATATCCAGCAATACATCTACGCCAATTTCGCCTATTGCTTTTAGAGTCTCCGCTATTATGCCATCGATTCCTGGAGTTTTTTTTGTTTCTTAGTTGGTTAAGAGCCTTCTCTACTTCTGCTCGTAAAATGATTGGTTCAGCCTCTCTGATTGCATGTTTTTTGTGTTCTGAGACTGATGCGTCATCTTTGAAGTGTCTTTGTATAATTCTGAGCAGTAATTTTTCCAGGTATCTGCGATGCTCTCTATGTCGGTTTTTACTTCTCCATTAGAGTCTTGAATGGCTTGAAGTTGTGGCTTGAACTCTCGGGCTAAATATTTAACTTTTTTAAATAGTTCATGATTTTCATGGCGGTTTGCATGTTGCTCCAGTTCTTGACACACGTTATTTATATGGTTGTTTTTATCTCTGATGCACATACATTTTATTTTCCTGTTTATCTCCGCTATTTCTTGAGTGTTGCTTCCTGTTTTTGAGATATGTTGTAGCATAGCTCTTCTTTTTTCCACTATGCTTCCATAATGAGATTCTGGTCTTATCAGTGAAAAGAAAATTTTTCTAGTTGTCGATATTCCACTGAATATGTGTTCTTGCAAATTTTAAATGACGAGCTTTATGATTTTGGAGGAGTAGTGGAACATTGGCGGGACATCTGGGCTTTAAGTTTGCTTCTTTTATTCTTCATCTAACATTTTCTGAACTTACATGCACTTGTCTAACATTTATTAGCTCTCAAGTGCGGCTGTGCAACTTGGACGTCCTTGTGCAGGCCTTCGTACAAAATTTCCTGTTTCGCGGTACCTTTTTAAAGTATTTAAAACTAGATTGACTTCTCCTGAAACGTGTGCGATATCTTTTTGTGCATATCCTCGTACAAAAATACAATTTGCGCTACTTTGGGCTTCATCGCAGTATCGAGTTGGTGGCATACCTGTTTTAAACTTATTTAAATCAAAAGAATATTTAACTACAAATGTACGAATGACACTAAACGCTGAATAAATGCCAAAATAAAGGTCACAATATTTTAAACCAGTTGAGTACTTCAGCCTACTATACGAGTGTTATCAGTAATCGACAATTGCTTTGAAATTTAGTGACTACAAAAAAACTTGGAAAATTCAGAAATATTCGATATTTTTGTTAATAAGTGTATATATTCTATCAAAACATTCATATAAATAGTTTTTGTACAAACTCAATAAATCCAATTACTAATATATATTTCTCTTTTAGCTCGCCCTTGTATTGGCCAGTATCATCGGTTTGAAGAAACTCCTCAGTGGAGGCGAGAAACACGTCACATACGAAGTAGTCGCTCAACCACATCACGAGCACCACGTCGAACACAGCCATTCCGGGGGTGGATTCGACGCTCACGGCGGCGGTGGCGGATGGGGAAGGAACTTCGATGCCCAGGCTGCTCAGAACTTGGCATATAGTGCCCACGTTCCATCTAATTAAATTGTGATTTTCCTCGGTTTTACCGACACCATATTGGTGTAGTACTTCGGAGTTTTAATTTTAATTTATTTTATTTAATATTTATTTATTTGTGTTTTGTTAAATTTGTTGCAATAAAAAAAATGTTGTTACATATCGTGATGATTTTTTGCCTCTAAACCTATGTTTTGATATAAATTATAATAATTATTTTAGTTTTACTTAAATAAGTAAGGTGAAGTGGGGTATCTGTGGACGGAATATAAAAAGTTTCATTTTTAAGTTACTTATGAAGTTAGTTGGGTTTCAAACCACTTTCTTTTTGTTTGTAGATATGTATTAGTAATCTAATAATATGTTTTCTTTAATAGAAGATAAACAATGAATTGAGAGAGAAGAGTATTGACATTCTTGTTTCACGTGTACGGGTTCACAGTTACCCGTTAATGTAGGGTAACTGTGGACCCTGACGGGAAAACTGTGATCTGCTTGGTAAACTTCACTCTGTAGTTATTATAATGAAAGGTGTAACTGTGGATTAAAATAAAAGCAACATTAAAAATGTAGAAATGAAAATTTTTATTAAAAATTATGAAACAACAAAAAGCTAGAGAATATTTTTGAATCTCCTTAAATCCTCACAAAACGTTACGACGTTTTCATCTTCTGATTTTGGGTCGTTCAGTATTCCTAATATCTTATCATGAGCGAACAAAAGAGGCTTATTTTCCTAATGAAATTTGAAGGCATTTTCCACACATCGTTTCAAACATTTGATTATCACGAATCTTTTCACTGAATTTATTTGACATATTAGTCCAATCGAATGAGTAACCGCTCGTTTGCTTATTCGTACCACGATGTATTTTTCTGATATTATATAATCGTCAGTAGGTTCTTGAACATAACACATATATGAAACACATATATGAAAATGCCACAATGCATATAAAACTGGACGAAAGCACAAAAACTAATCCCATAAGACTACAACGGGGAGTAAGACAAGGAGACACCATCTCTCCCAAACTATTTACTCTTGCTCTAGAAGATATTTTTAAGAAAACTGGAATGGAACAATAAGGGTATCAACGTCGACGGATCATACTTAAACCATTTGAGATTCGCAAATGACATAGTTTTAATAGCCGATAATATCCAAGAACTAAAGGATATGTTACAACAATTAAATGCAGTTTCAGGAGCAGTAGGCTTAAAAATGAATTACAGCAAAACAAAAATACTGAGCCGAGAGCAGACAAATATAACAATACAAAATCATACCATAAAAAATGTGGAACATTATGTATATCTAGGTCATGTTATCAAACTAGGAAAACCAAATCAAGATGCTGAAATTAAAAGAAGAACACAACTGGCTTGGGGCGCTTTCGGCAAACTAGCACATATCTTGAAAAACACCTCCATTCCTATAAACTTAAAGAAAAAAGTGTATAACACATGCATACTACCTGTTTGTACCTACGGCTTGGAGACAGTAGCACTTACCAAAAAATCTGCCAAAAAATTAGAAACAACGCAAAGAGCAATGGAACGAATCATGCTTAGAATATCACTAAGAGACAAGATTAGAAACACCGAGATAAGACGTAGAACGAAGATTAGGGATATTGTGGAAGAAATTACAAAAATGAAATGGCGCTGGGCAGGTCACGTAGCCCGATATAATGACAACAGGTGGACACGGAGAATTCTAGAATGGAGACCAAGGACGACAACAAGAAGCATGGGAAGACCTCAAAAAAGTTGGGTAGATGACATAAGAGCGGTGGCAGGCAAACAGTGGATTAGATTGGCGCAAGATAGAGAAAGATGGAAGCAATTGGGAGAGACCTACATTCAGGAGTGGATGGAAAATGGTTGACAAAGAAGAGGTTCTTGAACTTGAGGTTCGGCATTTTCTTCCATACTGTGATTGGGAGCTTCATAAGAGTCATCGCTCCCTGCATAAAGGACTTCATCGGAATTTTCATCGTCACTACCTAATTTTGATGGTTTCTTGAATGTATTCTTCGAAGCTTTTGTCTTAGTTTCTGATAACTGTAGGTGTTCGAAATAGGTTTTCGTTGTGATCACCTCAGAAACATGTATTCTTTTCCTCTTCCTTTGATGTAGCTTCGGAGAAGGTTACACTGTTGCTAGTAGAATGTTCTACCAGGATGCAATGGAAGTTGATGCAATGCAATTTTGGCTTTGTGTAGTAGGGCTGCAAGAAATTGTATATGGGATCGAAGTTTGCTTACCCGTAGAACTTTGCTCGTCAATGATAGTGTCAGGAATATTTTTCTCTTCATAATATTATTTTAACTTTTCGAGAAACTTTTCTTTGTTAATGAAATCTCGATTTAGAGGAAAAATACTTGGTTTTATAAATCCATTCACCACAACAGGTTCTGGAATACTGCTCCAAGCTTTTCTCAAAAGGTTGGAAAATTCGCATTTTGTTAACTGCTTTCCTAAATTGTTGTGCTACCTTCTGTTGTGCTAATCTGTTAACAATGCATCCCATAAGGACTGAGCCCCTTGAAGACAGACACATCCAAAGGCTGCAATATTGCAGAAGTATGTGGCGGTAATTTAAGAATAGTCACATATTCTGTAATGGATAACGCAATCAGTTTGGGTGAAATGTACGATAAACGACCATCGTATCAAAAGAGCAGACCTTTCAATGCGATTAAAAAAAAACATTTTTGAACCATAGAAAAAATACTTGTTCAGTCATCCAACCATTTTCGGATACGTAGTAAGATGTCTCTGGATACTCACCTCTACCAAACATATTGTCCCATAACCATTTGCCCTTGTGGAGGATCATATGTGGCAATATGGATCTGTTGTCATTAGCAAAACTGTTGTTGTTTCCATCCTGAGCCTGCAGTTTGCCTTTGTGATATTTCTTCGATTAAAGTTATAACCTTAGTATGGCTGAAGTCATAATTAAAAGCCGTTTTATCTGCATTCCGTATCCTAGCAGAGTATTGTTGAAGTTGTAAAATCTTTATAGCAGTATTCATTTGAGAAATAGTCCAAACCCCACTTACTCATAGTTTTTATCCGAGAAACCAAAATGTCTTCATATTTTTTAAAAAGGGCAGTTCTACCACCTCCAGTCACACCTGTAATATATTTTCATTGTTTTAAAAAGTAAAATCTAGTAGGTACCTAATTTTGTTATAACCTTGTGCATGTCCTGCAGCTGATCTACTTTTCCCACCTATTCACTTTTAATCCGACTGTCGATTTTGATACGCCATGCTTAATTGCAGCATTTTTTAATGAAGATTTTCTGATTGCACATCTCGTATAGCCAGTTCTAAAGCTACTTCGAATCGAATTGCTTTCTAATGCCCCCTTGTCTTTTGAATTTACTCTAATTATTAAAATATTACTCGATATGTTTCACAATGTCTCAATTATACACGATGAAACCATAAAGGTCAAGAAGTTAAGAATAACGTGCGATTACAAATTAAGGGATTAATCTGTGATTTAACGGTACATAAATTATATTAGTTTTAGATTGGTATATATATAGATTAGTGCGAAGTTTCATATTATGTTTTTTGTATTTTTAAAATTTAAGTAATATTTTTAAACTTGATTAAAGTAATTTAATACTTATATTTTTATTTTTTAATTTTAAATATTTAAATTTATATTTATATATTTTATATTTGTTCTACCAAGCGTTGTTGAGAAGGTTACCTTGCTAAAATTCTGGCAACGTAATTTAGTGATAAGAGTTGCCTTTGTTGGCTTAAGGGCAGTTCATTAGCTAGAGCTTGTAAGCTACTTACTGGACTAGTTCTTGGGGCACCTAAAACTAATCTTAAGCATATATTTTGAATGTAGTCAAGTTTTTTTTTTTAAGTTTTGTTAGCAGTATCGTAGCATAAACAGCCGTAGTCTAGTTTACTTCGCATTACTGATCTGTATAGAGTAAGTAAGGTTGTTGAATCTGCCCCCCAAGAGCTATTTGACAGCATTTTTAGTAGATTAATTCTGGATTGGCAAGTACGATGCAGATTGGTTATATGGCTTTCCCAGTTTAAGTTAAGTTCAAAAAAAAGTTCTACGAAATTTATTAACCCTTTAAGGCGCAAAACTTTTTTTTGCGTCGTCCAAAGCTTATATTCATTAAACCGATGCAAAACAAGTATAAATAGAGTAATAATGTATCCTTTTGGCATTATGTTTTTTTCTTTGTCGAACAGGACCTGGTTGATTTTTCAACCAAAGGACCATTGCGGTCTCAACGACTTTGAAAATTTCACTGGTTGAAAAATCAACCGCTTGTTCAATTTGTTAAGTAAATTGTGTTACTAAATAAAAAAACCACTTTAGACAAAGTTTTATTCAAAAGTAATTATTATAAGAGACAATTACAAATGGAAAGGTGTAAAACATTCCAAACAAAGGGCAACATCACATTTTTTGCATATCATGTGAGATCGCTTTGGTTTCTTCTCTGTGCTACAGAAAGCACATCGCCGAGAGGTGCCTTTTACAGGTAAATGTTCACCAACTATCGAACTTCTAACTACAGGATCAGTAGACACCTTTCGTCCTTCAATCTTGTTTATTTTGCGAAATATTGTCGCTACAGGACCCCTCCGTTTTCTACTCGAAAAATGATTTATCAGCTCATTGGCAAAAAAGCTGCGGTATGCCAAATGCGACATAGGTTTGCGAGAATTTCTTTTCATTCCAAGATTATACAATATATAACTGTTTACTACTGTAGCATTTAGGATGTAGTACAGTAGTTTCATCCACCATTTTTGGATTTCCAAGAGATATCATAGCAAGAAAGCATCTGATCGAATTTGTCGACGCCTCCCATAAACCGATTGTAATCAGAAACTGCTTTTGGGCATTCAATTTCTTCCCGTACTCCAGCTTTATTAGTACGCTTTACAGTTGCTTTTTCAGCAGGATTATGCATATTGCTGATCACTACCACACATTTTTTCCCTCTATCTCTCCATTTTACCACA